CATTGTGATAAACGAAATAATAATTTGATCTAAGTAAGAGTTTTTTTTTTCTTCCCTATTTGCAAAAACTCCTTACGTAATAGAAAAAAATTAATACTATTGCGGTGGAGATACACCGTCTATCAATGTGGGTCCTAGTCTTACTTCCGCAGTCACCTCCAAAACCCAGGACACATTTTATATCCCACATTATAGCCAGTACCCTGCGGATCCTTTTGATTTGTGCAGCGTCTTTGTTTGACTTTTGTTTGAGCATATTTTTGTTCATTTGTACATCATCTATCATAGGTTTGGATTTGCTGTTTTTAACGCAGTCCTTCCTTCTGATTTTCTATTGCTAGACTGTTTGAGTATTGATTTTCTATATATGCATTGTCCTATTTCAGTAGTGCCCTATTTGATAGTTATAATGTAACTTTTACATATACATATAAATTATGTATAATATTTGGTAGTGATAATTAGTGCTGTTTAATTAGGAGAATAGTCGAATCAACAAGATTCACTTTAGCTCCAGATTGCCCCCCTCCCCACTGTCGATATGTCTGCTGACTTACAACGCAAGAAATCGTGTTTCGATACCTGTGGTTGGCAGAACACAGATAGTTCAACGTGTAGCTTTATGCTTAACTACAAACAAAAGCTCCAAATTATTGGTGTATTTGATGTTGGCTTGTTCTTTACTCATATCACCAATAATAGCCTCTACTGTTGTGAGCATTTTGACGAAAATGTAACGGTGACGTTTCTTGGGTATTCTTCTGAGTTATTCAACTGACAAGCTGTATAAGAAAAAATGTTTTAGGTTTTTTCCCTCTTAAAAGCTAGGCCTGACATGGCCAGATGGTTATGACGTTCGACTCGCAAACATGTTCGCTCTTTCAGCCGTGGGGACGTTATAATGTGATGGTCAGTCCCACTATTCGTTGGTAAAAGAGTAGTCCAAGAGTTGGCGGTGGGTGATGATGACTAGCTGCCTCCCCTCTAGTCTTTCACTGCTAAATTAAGGGCGGTTAGTGCAAATAGGCCTCGTGTAGCTCTGCGCGAAGTTCCAAACAAACCAATCCAAACCATCTTAAAACCAAGATTGCGAATTTTGACAAGGAAGAAACGCAATGCACAATCTGTTCTTGGCTTCGTCATTTGTCGTTTGTTTGTTTGTAATTAAGCACAAAGCTACACAATGGGCTAGCTGTGCTCTGACAACCACGGGTATCGAAACCCGGATTCTAGCGTTGTAAGTCCTCAGACATACCGCTGTGCCACTGGGGGGGCTCGTCATTTGTCAATGAGGTTGACGAT